TAGATTGAAGGATAAGTTTGTCATTATCCCGCGTAAGTCTGTAAATACTTGTATATTGACACCTAACGTTGTCTCAAAACCTACATATGTTTCGTACACGCTACCATATGCAGGTTTTGGGACAGTTTTATGGTGCAATATACAAGTATTTACAGACTTTCAGCTGGGTATCTCGAATTCCGAGATTCTTACCTAATTCAAACTTAATGACTGGACCATATATGAACAGTGATCGACTCCTTTATTTATTGCAACATTTATCCTTTATTAACTTCCCGAAGGAGAAGTTTATGTTTTCATCAAAAAATCCGACTCGTTAAATTTTATATTTTCTCGACGTTTCAAGCCATTCTGAATCGAATGAGACCAAATTTGAAAAAAGTATGTGTGCGTGTGTGTGAACAGATATTTTGCCGGAAATCGACGTTTTCTCAAAACGGATGGACCGATTACAAAAATTTAAAAACAATTCGATGCATCGAGTTGTGGACTTTGTTTATCTAATTTGCGCGACGATCACCCAAGCCGTTTCTTTATAATCGCAGAAAAGTGAAAAAAAATTGTCTACGTTTTAGCCCGCAATTCTGGATCGATTTTGAAAATTCAAAACCGTTCGAAAGATATTGGTTGGGAATCGTGCTGATTAGTTTTTGGTAGAGATCGGCTGGGCCGTTGCCTTGTAATAAAGTTTTAAATAAAATTTCGACGATTTTTATGATTATTTTTTGACGGTAGATACCATAGTCTTCTAGATCATACTAAAATATTACGGCCCTACGACAACTCGTTTAGCTTTAAAAATTCGTCAAAGTTTGCAAAAATTGGTATCGTTCTTTTGGCATTTGTCAAAATTAGAACTTTGATCGACGTTTTCTAAAAACGCCTGAACCGATTTCAAAAATTTAAAAGTCATTTGATGTATCTCAATGAGACTGTAGTTTGTCAGTTTCGTGAGACGATCTGCCGAGCCGTTCCTTCGTAATTTGAAAAAGAGTGTTAAACTTTTCACCCACGTTTAAGCTTATTCTACCGAATCGATTTTAAAAAACCAAAAACTGTTCGAAAGATATTTTTTGGGAATGATACTGATTAGTTTTAGGTGAAAATCTACCGAGCCGTTTTCTTGTAATTAACTTGTAATTTGGCGATGTATATCATGGTCTTACTGAAATATTACGGCCTTACGACAAGAGGTTTAATTTTAAAAATTCATCAAAGTTTGAGAAAATAAGTAGTTCTGTTGGCGCGTTTGCTAAAATTAAAATTAGATGATTTACTTGGTATATAACGATAGATTACTTGGTCTTAATGAACATACTAAACGATTAACGTCCTACGAAAATTGGTTCAATTATAAAAATTATTGATTTGTGAAAATTTGCTTTTAGAAAATACTCCGATTAACGTGTTCTTTCGTTTTCAATTATGTATAATAAATCCACACGGAATACTTCTAATCACTCATAAATTAATTTGTTTATTATTCATTAAGTCGATTATTTACACATTCGATATGTTCATGTAACTTGCCTCAAGGCTAAATACCAATACCAACTATTGAAAATAAAAATCTGAAATAAAATCTTCATAAAACAATAATCAATATATTTTGTAAAACCGATACAAACAAATTGTGTAAAATACAATTCTATGTCTATTAATATAACTATGCTATGATTAAATCATGTTTCAAATTAATATGATCAATAATATCTAAAAGAATTTCGATATCTTTCACATCCCTCACTTTCAAAGGCGCTGCACAGAGTCTTATCGAAATGCCATCCATACTAATTGTATAATCACCATTTTTAAAAATTGTAACTTTTCTATCTACTTCTGATGAGACACTTTCATTTGCGTATATCAGTTTGTAACGTTTGAAACTGAAGCTGGACATTTTAATTATTTCAGAAAATGTACTGACGTATTTAATGATGTCACTCTCGTCGTAGTACATGATGGTTTCTCTGCCTCCTAATTGGAAGCTACCAATGGCTCTGTTTGTGCTGGGCTTTGCTGTGACTATGTTGTGGCGTAGGGAGCAACACCACTGGTGCGAAGGCATTTTAATTCCATTCTTCATTTTGCTTATTCGATAAGCAACACTCTCAAACGGAAAGTTCTTGCGTGGGGCCTCAAAGGGATCTGTGAAGTCATTGTTTTGCTGCTTCTCTAGAATCAACCCGTAGAGTTTGGAAGTCGAATCAGGGATAAGAGGATTTGTTACTGGTTCTATAACATGCGCTTCTGGTTCTATAACATCCTCTAATTGTGGCGGATCTTGTTTTCTTCTTTTTGGTGACACCGTTTCGTCAACATCAAGTTTTCTTTTTGGGGTCCTTGGAACAACCAAAGTATCACTAGCAAAATTCACTCTTTTCTCCCTCTTCAACTTGTACGTTTGGTCACTAACTTTGTCATACTGATTAAAATTTATCATCTTCAAGTTCACATAAGACGAGAAGAATCTTTTATCATATTTTGCACTCAGATCTGTTACAACCGGTTGGACTTCCGGTTCTTTTTGCAACACAGGTTTAATTTTTGCAATCATTCTGTTCACCAGTCCACCTTTATCTAATTTTATCGGCTCTCTTCTACCGGTGATGATAAATCTTCTGTTACCTATAACGATTTCACCGTTTTTATCAGCTTGCATAAACTTATTTTTATTTAACACTATTCTACCTTTTTTTATCACACCCTTGATCCGTTTCACAGGTGAGATAATGGACTCTGATGTCAGTTTATCTTTATTTGCATCTTTATTTTGTATTATTGGCTCATCGTCTTCATCATCTATAACAATAGACTCATTTTCATCAAGCTTTTTGCTAACTTTGTCTGAACTGCTGTCATTAGTTACTTTTGAACTGCTCTCATTAGTTACTTTTGAACTGCTCTCATTAGTTACTTTTGAACTGCTGTCATTAGTTACTTTTGAACTGCTGTCATTGGTTACTTTTGAACTATTATTTACTGTAGCACCAGGTTTATCATTTTGCACATTGGTTTCTGATATTTCAACACGCACAGACCCATTTTCATCAATTGTTATAACCGACTGCCCTAAATGAATTGATTGTGGTTGTTTATTGGTTTCTGGTTGTGAATCTTTGCCTACTGTTCCATTTTTATCACTCACCGGGTTGTCTTTACTCACAATTTCATCATCGTCTATTACTATTGGTTCAGTTATGTTCAACGGTTTTAAACCTAGCTTCTCACTACACACCGGACGAATTATGGGTTTTGTCTTTAGTACAATAGCAGTCACCGGGCTGTCTTTTGTAGTTAATAACTTTCTATTTGGAGTGGTAATGGAACTAGTTTTATTGGTGTTTTGTGTACTGGATACTACTGGAGTAATTGTTACTGATTTTGTTATGTCACTACCTTTTTTATACATGGATTGGATATCATCTGTTGTTATGGTCCGCACATTAGCTATTTTTATAGGTCCAGTGTTTTGTGTTATTGGGCTCTTTAGGTTTGTATCAGACTTATAATTAGATTCCGATGGTGTTATTATCCTGGTTTTGACCGCTTTTGGTCTAATTTTTTCTGTTGACGATATATTTCTTGGTGTGGAAACTTTTGTACCATCATTTGTATTAGTCTTTAACGTTCTCTTTCTACTACCTCTGTTTTTAATTTCATTTATATCAACAATGGTGATGGTTTCCACAGTTTTGGAGCCCTCACTCATTTTGGTTATGTTATCTGAATTTGCTAAGACTTCCTCATTTTGCGATCCAGCATTTAGAATATTGAAATACATTGTCTTTAAAGGTGTGTATTCTAATGGTAGTATTTTAAGTACGAGATCTTTATCAGGTTTGGGTTTTGTACTACATTTTGGTGGATCATCGTTCAATTCTACAAATCTTTTTGGAGGTCGTCTGCTCCTCTTTGTGGCGGACATTTTTTAAACGCGAACATTTATAACTGATTTAATTTGCACTGAGCATGTATAAAAATTTAGTTTTGCATCATATAACACTAAGAAATAACATTTGCACACACAAATTGTTTACCACCATGTTTTGATTCCAGCAAATTTTGACGTAAATAAGTGCGCGGTCTTTAACTACTGCCAACTTCAAAACAATGGCTGTGTTTTTTGAATATAAAACAGTAAAATTAATAAACGATAAATAAATAATAACGTATTTAATTGTCTTTTGATGCTATAATTATTTCATAAATCTTCATACCTAAACCAAACAATAATATTAGATAAATATCATTACGTGAGGGCGCTGATAGAAGCAAACGCACGTCAAGATGGCGGCAAATTAAAAAATTGATAGGTGCGAATTTTAAAATACCTAGTGTATCGAGTAATAATAAAAGAACTAAAAAAATTTGCAAGTAAAAATGAAGCAATAATTATAACAAAAACGACAAATAAACATTTGATACAGCATGTACACAAATGTGTTCTTAACAACACAAACTGTTTTTGAAAGACTAATCAAACCATTATGTTTACTTATCTATGAATCAAACTATATAAGCACTCTTTTATTATCTATGTATATAAAACTATTAAAATTTGTTTGAATACAAAAAACGTGACTATTATTAATATCATTATTATTTCCCCTTGATTTCATTTTATTGTTTGAATTTCGATTCATTTTATTTTGAATGTTTGTATTTTGGCGCCCTCACAATTAAACCCGCCTGAAGTTAGATGCATCACAATCAGTTTCGAGTGCGTCTAGTCTGTCACTATCCTATGTTTTCTATGCCAATTTGTACAAATGGTGTAGTAACATTAAACACTTTTTAATCAATTGTGATGAAGGGCGAGTCATTTCATCACCAAAAATAATAGTGCGCGAAAAAGGGCTTGCACGCTTACGAAAAATCATTACCGGATTTGCAAGCCCCCAACGCGTCAACAAAACCATCAAGTAAGTTTTGTCAATCAGTTCTCATATATTTCTTATAAGAATTCCATGGCTGTGGATGTTATAAACAAGATTTTGTTTGCAGGATTGCCCGGCAGCCGATTTATTATAATTTTAACAAAGTAACTCGATTTATTTAAGATGAAGTACTCTACATCAATGAGCACAATGAAAAATTCGAACGCCCTGTTCTGTGAACAGGTAGAAACTATAACTAATCTTTTTCAAAATTGGAACGAGTGTGAGCAAACTGTTGTTTTATATGCCCTGTTACGAGGGATTCCTTATCAGAACTTAAAGTTCTTGCAAATGTGTATTGAAAATAATCTACAAAATGTTACGTATGGAGAATTCAAAACTCTGGAACAGAACGCTAATAATGCTAATTATTTAAGAAATCTTTTGAATGGCTCTGCTGGAAGTGATATGGGTAATCAGATGATTGATAGTGAATCATTAGGTATTAAGAATTCGAGTTACAGGAATATGCAAAAGCAAATGGGAAGCGATAGGCATATGAACTTCCTTATTGATAATGCAATGTATTCAAATGACAAAATGCAAGATTATTGTAAGAATGGATTTCAAGATGTGACCTTAGATTATTTTAAAGGTAACGGTAACCATAATTTTATATATATTATTTTTGAAAGCTGTCAGTACCATCTTTCTGGTTAACCTAGCTTTATTTGACATATTTTATTATTAGAATTAACCTAATATTGACCATATTCAGTATTGTTTATTTTATTAAATGCAGCATTGGCCAGGAGGGGCTATTTTTACTTGTATCAATTTTATTTAATTACAGAAAAATACATATCTGCGCATCAGTTATGTATGCGTTAATAACTTTCTACGAGTCATTTCATTTGAGTTTTTGCATTGCTTACTCTCATTTTTATTGGGAAATGATGAAGCAGCAATATTTTTTTTAATTTACTTACTTTGTTCTTTAATTTACTCACTTTGTTCTTTAATTTACTCACTTTGTTCTTTAATTTACTCACTTAGTTTCTTCAATTTACTTACTTTGTTCTTTAATTTGTCTTTCATTTACTTATATATATATATATATATATATATATATATATATATCAATAAATAAATATTTATCCATTGTCATTTCTTTAGGGGTAATTTTACCTGAATTTTTGCATTGCCTACCTCTTCTTCAATTGGGCAACGACGAAGCGAAAAATGTATATTTATCCCTGGTACCTCAAGCCGTAATTAGGCCCGGTTGTGAAGATTTATGCCAACAACTATTGTCCTATTTGCTTATACATCCCGCTGTGACTGGTGAAGATCGAAGGTAAGATATAATAAAGGTATAAGAAATAATTGATTTTTTTTTTAATGTTTTTATTTGAACATCTACAAAATATTATTTATTTACCTATATATTTATTTTATTTATATTTACTGTTTTTTTTTTTATTCATTTATTTCTTTGCTCATATATCTATTTTTCTTGATTTATTTATTCAAGTAAATATATATTTATTTACTTAATTATTTACTTTATTATTATTTACTTTATTATTTTTTTACCTTTTTAGATGTTTGACTCAATATCTTCATCATCTGCAAGAACATATAGCCCTAGGAGGTGCTACTCAACCGGATATTACATCGTCTATCAAAAATGGTGATGGTTCTGCTTGGTCTTTGCATAATTCTCAGAAATCTTTGAACACCGATAAACCTACAACCAATATTACAACATCATATCCTTCATGGTCTAATTTTAATCCTGACTATGAGCAGCTTACAAAAGAGGACTTTGGTAAAACCATTGGCAAAAACGTTGCTTACACAAAAACAGATTCCAGTAACAACTTTGATGATGATTCACAATTGTCTTTTTCTAAAAACGGCACTGAAATCGAAGATTCAACCACAGAAAACATACAAGACTCATCTGGCAATAATGATTTCTTCACTCAAAACTGTAAATTGTATAATATAGCCCCAAAAGCAACCGAATCTCCTGTGAAAACACACAGATCAAGCAGTTTAACCCCTTCATCAGACGACGGTATACTATTCCATTCAAATGAAAATTTAAGTCTGTTAACTTTAATGCAGAAACCTAGAAGTTACTCCTTATCAAGTGAGCATAACGCTTTATTAAGTCCTCATAATTCTTTGATCTCAAGCGGATCAGAATCTAGGTTAGATGATTTTAAGAATTCGTCGGCTAAGACCACTGCAAGTAAAAATGCTGGCATGACTAATATAGCTCAGTGGTTAAAAAGTTTAAGGTTGCACAAATATATATGGTTGTTTTCGAATACTTCTTATGAAGATATGATGGCTATCACCGAAGAATACCTTGCTAGATTAGGTGTTACCAAGGGGGCCAGACACAAGTTGTACCTGAGTATACAGAGATTAAAGGTAATTCAAATTGATAACGAAATTCTGATGAGTTTTCTCTTCTATTTCACTTTATTTTTTTATTTAATATTATTTTTGTATTTATTTTACAAGATTTTTGTTTACTTAATTGATTTCTTCATTAAATTAAATATTTTATTTTTTTTCCTTGATTTATTTTTTTATTTTAATAGATTTATTTTTTGTTTTACTCGATTTTTTTTCTTATTTTTATAGACTTATTTATTTTTATTTCATTTGATTTATTTTGTTTGATTTATTTATTTGTATTTTACTTGATTTATTTAGTTTGAATTATTTATTCATTTATTCTATTATTTTAATTTCTTAATTATATATTTAAATATTTATTTTAATCAAATATATTTATTCACTTATGCATCATTTTATATATTTTTATATTTACTTTATTTATATAACTATTTATTTATTTACTTGTTAATTCATTTATTTATTCACTTTTTTATTTAATTCATTTAATTTGCTTGTTTATTTAATTTACTCATATTTTTTTAACTGTTCAGTTATTTTATTTGATTATTTAAGCAAATATTTATTTACTTGTTTATTTACTACATTATTTTATAATTTACTTTTTTATTTATTTATTTAGATTGCTCTGGTTTATTTAATCATTTACTCATTTTACTTATGTTTTCATTCATCTACTTAATTATTTATTTATTTACTTTTTAATTTACTTTTTAATTTATTTACTTTTTAATTTATTTACTTTTTAATTTATTTACTTTTTAATTTATTTACTTTTTAATTTATTTACTTTTTAATTTATTTACTTTTTAATTTATTTACTTTTTAATTTATTTACTTTTTAATTTATTTACTTTTTAATTTATTTACTTTTTAATTTATTTACTTTTTAATTTATTTACTTTTTAATTTATTTACTTTTTAATTTATTTACTTTTTAATTTATTTACTTTTTAATTTATTTACTTTTTAATTTATTTACTTTTTAATTTATTTACTTTTTAATTTATTTACTTTTTAATTTATTTACTTTTTAATTTATTTACTTTTTAATTTATTTACTTTTTAATTTATTTACTTTTTAATTTATTTACTTTTTAATTTATTTACTTTTTAATTTATTTACTTTTTAATTTATTTACTTTTTAATTTATTTACTTTTTAATTTATTTACTTTTTAATTTATTTACTTTTTAATTTATTTACTTATTTATTTACTTACTTTTTGATTGAACTACTTAATTATTTATTTACTTTATTATTCAATTACTTAATTATTTACTTATTTTTTCATTCATTTACTTAATTTTTTATTTACTTCCTTTTTTATTGATTTACTTCTTTTTATTTTTTAACCTAATTATTTTTTTAGTTATATTCATTTATTAGCTTATTTAATAATGTGCTTAATTATTTATTTATTTACTCACTTTTTTATTTATTCAAATATTTACATACCTAATTATTTACTTATCAATGTACTTAATTTATTGGTTCATTTATTTATTTGCTAATATATTTATTTCGATTATTCTTTTATTTAGGTAAATATTTATTTACTTGTACATTTAATTTATTTACTTATTTATCTATCTATTTAATTCATTTACCTATCTATTTATCTATTTAATTCATTTAATTTGCTTACTTGATATATTTGTTTATTGTACATGCTCAATTTATTTTACTTACTTTATTTTTTTATTTTATATACTTGATTTGACTTGGCTTGACTTTAATTTATTTGATTTATTTTACTTAATTACTGGATTTACTTATTTAAACTACTTTAATAAATCAATAAGATTTATTTTACTTCTTTAATTAATTTATTTTACATAATTGATTGATTCATTTATTTATTTATATATTTATTTACTCACATACTTGTTTATCCTTAATATTTAATCTTTTATATATTGATTAATTAATTTATTTTATAATTTAACAGGAACGTTATTCAACTTTATGCAATGTCGAGAGAGATTTAATAAGTTCACACGGATCAACAATGTTTGCAGCTTTGGAAGAAATGAGATCGGTGATTGTTAGTCCCATAAAACCACACACTGACGATGATATTGTTAGACAATTCATAAAAGTCTTAGATATAGGTATAAAAACAGTTCAATCCCATCAAACTGTAAATGCATTTCTTCAATATGTATTGATCAATGTATTATTTTTGCAGTTTCATCTTTCTTAAACAATAATCTAATGAATGCCGTTCATGATGAGGAATGTTTGGCTTTATATTTTTGGGTCTTGGATAGGGCTATTGGCAATGAAGCTTTTGTTGCACATGTCGGTTTACTCAAGAATATGAAATACAATACTATTAAGATGAACCAGTACCAGAATAAACTGCAGTACAAGAATGTTTATAATACTCATTCGTTCAATGGACGAGAAAGCCACAGGAGGAATAGTGATTTCACAAACAATGGGAGGAATTCTAAAACTAGGTAATAATTGATTTATATATATATATATATATATATATATATATATATATTTATCTTATATATATATATTTATCTTATATATAAAATTCTTCTGTAATGAGATATGAAAGGATGATCCTCCTAAACGATTATTTGGATTTTGATAAATCTCTATGAAGTTTGTTAAGGGATTTTTTTAGAATCTTTTGATTCATAGAACTATAGTCAGATAATAGAAATAAATGGAGAAAATTACAAGAAACTGCTTATCATTGAGTGATATTGAAAATACTTGAGAGGCATTGTTTGACATAAAAACAAATGAAGACAGTCATTTTCCAATTATTTTAATTCACTTATGAGCTAAGATATTAAAATATAATAAATTCATGATTATAAATGAGAAAAATGTAATGTCTACATTATCATTGCTGAAAAGCAGCTGAGATATGCCAAAAATTAAAATAATATAAGATACATTATATATTTGGCATGTAACAGTCTTCGCATGCGTCTGACAGTTGTGGACTGTAAGTGATTGCGCTCGAACATATTCAATGTGACAGATTATTATCTTTATTTATGCTGTCGTGTTTAGCCTTACTTTACTAAATCACAATACAAAAAAAAATTTGCTTATACAAAAAATTCTTTAGAAGTTTCATTGTGTCAAAAATTCATATGTTTGGCATTGTATACAGAATATTTACTCCAGTCAATGCAGCGTTGTGGGTCAGACTTTTTTTTACTGTACTCCAATTTGTATAAGATTCTGGAATTAGGTTCATCTTACTCTTAAGTCCAAAAGTGATAATAATTTAGACTCCTTTACCACTTCCTGGGTATTTCTTCTCAGTGGTGTAATTTTACTTTTTTCAAAATAACGTTGGATATTGATAAAAGAACTAATTATAAGAGAAAAATGTTTAATAATGTTATTCAAAAAAGCATATACTTTTCAAGTTACTGGCTACTGAAAATTCGTTTCTTTTTTGCGTTTTTCATCGTTTTTTGCTAATATCTTCAAAAATATACCTTTTAATGAAAATCATGTAATGAACAAAATTGTATCAATTAAAATCTTAATAAATCGGTGTTTTTTAAAGTGTTCAAGGAACAATATTAGATTAGATATAAAAATGTGGTTTTATAGTGCTCGAAATAAGCTTTAAAATGAGTACTTTTATGTGCAAAATGAGTAAGCTATTATGCAAATAAGATGCATACAATGTTTTTTTCATTTGAATCAAATAGCTTGAGTGCGATTTCCACCAAAATTAAAAATAATTGTATTCCATCTAGAATTAACTTGGTTTACGAGATCTTGATGGATTCTAGAAAATATCACGACTTTAGTACAAACGATTTTTTAAAAAACTCATGATTTCATGGAAATAAATCCATTAAAAAAAACAATCAATTTCTTATTATGTATCTGAAAGAATAAAAGATAAATATAAAGGTATATGAATGAAAATTCAAGGTCTTTTTCTGACTAATTATTGCTTTTTATTATTTTTCCGTCACACAAATATTATAGAGTTATGAGAAAAAGCAACTGATACATCATTCGAAATTATGAAGATTATAGACTGTTATATTATATACAGATACTATATTATTTTTTTCTGAATTTCTTATTCTGCTTATGCTAATACCATAAATGAATTACAAAATCAGGACATCAAATAGGATATTATAAAGTTTAGGATAGGATATTATAAAATGTGGAACTTTTGAATTATAGACTTGGGTACAGGACAACATCTGTCGGATCATCTAATATATATATATATATCTGATTTTTTTCCAGGTGGAACCAATATTCAAGACCCAATCGCCCAGTGCCCCCACCAGCCCACCCCCAGTGGAATCTAGTAAGCAATCACATAGGAAACTTCCAAAATCCATACCACATGACAAATTTGTACAACAAACCCAACGGTGCAAAACTATATCAACACATCGACAATAACGATAAGCATGCCAAGAGCTCTTCCTATCCCAATTTTAATATAAAACCAGAATCTGCTCAAAACTTTGAGCCTCACCGACACTCTCTAACCAGTCTGGTCACTCCTTTGAATAACGTTACCAACAAACCTCAGCAGACCATTTCTAAAGTCAAGAATTTAGATGAGAATGTATTGAAGAGTAAATCTAGTGTTGTGGAAATCAATAATAGATTGGAATCCCTGTGCTTGCAAATGACTGAGCAGGCTATCGAGTGAGATAATTGACTCGTTTGAAAGAAATTGACTACAGAATAAACCAATGACATTTTTTATTGTGTTAAAGAATTTTATTTACTTTATAAAATAAATATTTATATTATAAACTAGTGATGTTTTTATTTGGTTCTTTGCATATATTGCAGGATTTGGTTTGTACAAGTGTTGTCCAGTAATTTTTATTTTCCAAATTTTTTTTTTAGTTTTAAAAATCATTTATTGTTACATAAAACTGCAGCATTTTATTATCATTTTATTCTTATTATTTCATTTAATTCTTAGAAATATGAGATTAAATTATCTTATGGATTCATTCTAATTGGATACGATATATATATGTTTATTAACTTCCTGTAGGGTAAGTTATTGTAATGGGCCAAAAATCGAAATTGAAAATTTTTACATTTCTCGACGTTTTGAAGGTTTCTGAACATTTTGGCATACTTCAGAAAAAATGGATGTGTGCGTGTGTGTATGTGTATGTATATGTATGTATGGATACAAATTTTGGATACACGTTTTCGGGCGCACGGATTAACCGATTTGAATGATTCAAAAGACATTCGATTTCTATTGATAGGGAGATGTGCTGATTAGTTTTTGGCGAAGGCAGGCCCGGCCGTTTTGGAGATACGGAGCAAAGAGTGCAGAAAATAGAAATCGAGTTTTTGAGAGAACGGAGCATCCGATTTGAATGATCTAAAAACATTCAATTAATAATGATTGGTAGAAGTGATTATTAGTTTTTGGCAAAGGCAGGTCCGGCCGTTTTGGAAACATGGAGCAAAATGTGCAAAAGTCTTGGCAGTTTTTAAGAGAGCTAAGGTAAGTTTCATAATTTTCTTACTTTGGATCATCTTAAACAATTTTTTGTCCACGTTTTCGGGAGCACGGATCAACCGATTAGAATGATAAAGAAACATTCGGTTCCTGTTTATAGGGAGACGTGCTGATTAGTTTTTGGCAAAGGCAGGTCCGGCCGTTTCGGAGATACGAAGCAAAGAATGCAGAAAATAGAAATCGAGTTTTTGAGAAAACCGAGCATCCGATCAGAATGATTCAAAATACTTTATTGAGAGTACTGGTGAGTAGTTTTTGCCAAAAGCAACTCCAGCCGTTTCGGAGATACGCAGCAAAAATTGCAAATATAGCACTTATTGAGAACGGATCATCTAATTCGAAATTCTATTACAAAAATAAATTAACCCTTTGCACTCGAAATCTGCCGCTTCGGCGGCAAAATACGTATAAATCTCGCAATTCGCGATTGGAAAGGGTTAATAAAGACGTGAAACATGAGTACAAAATTTTTGCCAGCGATTTTTGACCAAAAATCCTGAACCGATTTTGCAAATTCAAAAACCCTCAAAATCAATTTGAAATTGCGCAAATATGGATTTTTGGTAAAAATATGGTCAGGCCATTTCCTCGTTATTAATTATTGAAAATATTATAGGCCTACAAAAAATGGTTCGTTTATAAATTTGAATTCAAAATTCTAACGGTCAAGTGCGTCCTTAGGTCATACAACTGGTCCGTTCCTTCGTGCATAGCCGAAGGATCACGAAGGGGTACGAGTTGAATTCCTCAACTTTTTCAAAATGTCAGTTAAACTTCTTATATCTACATAGCTAAATCATAATTTTATTTATTTTTATACATTATTTATACATATCATGCAACTTGGTTTAAGGCAAAATTCCACTTACACCTAGTGTTAATGTGTTAATCCTAAAATTTTATATGTTGGTAGGTTAAAGTGATTTTTAGCGCCAAGGATGGAGGAGTCTTATATGTAAATTTTAGTTGGTTTTATCATTTTTATACATGTGCCGATAAGTATATGATGACATCTATGCAAAATTGTGTTCGATTTTATTGAAAACGATTCAGTCGTCTGTTGAAACCCCAGCCATGTGTTTGTCTAGGTTATAGTTTTAATTCTTATGCAAAACTTGTGCAAAGATTAATCCACTATATAAGTTTTAGTCCATGTGATAAATATTTTACCAAAATGTTCAAAAGTCATTTAGATATGTTGGGGACAGGACAATTTTCTGATCAAGTCTTGACAGTTGTAGCTGTAACAGAAAACAATGAGGTTTGTGTATATACTAAATAATATATAATGATAATTTAGTCTTGATATTGATTTAATGTTTTAGAAAGTCGTGAGGAATATCAATGTACACAAAATTGTATTAGCTGGAGGCAGTCCTGTCTTTGAAAGAATGATTTTTGGATGTTCGAGTTACCAAGTTGAGGTTCACATTCACGAAGATGAGTTTGTGCTGTTTTACAAGTTTTTAGAGTAAGTTGGAGATAACTACTTTAAACACAAATTTAATAGTATAGTTATTTATACAATAGTATCTATTTATTTGTGATCTCGATGTGTAAACTTTGGTGTAAGGTAAGGTTGGTTAGGTCGAACCTCGACTGGGTACAGTGTCACTTTTCAGGGTCAATTTATCAGTTACCTGAACAAAAAGTGACTTAAATACTAAGTTTGAACATTTGTCTAGGTGTAAATATTGAAATACCGTCCTTAAATATGATGGATTAGTCATAAAATCAAATCCTGTTGAGGTTCACATTCACGAAGATGAGTTTGTGCTGTTTTACAAGTTTTTGGAGTAAGTTGGAGATAACTTCTATCAAACCCACATAGAATAGTACAAGATAGTATTTATTAATATTACTAAATAGTATTTATTTCTGATCTTGATGTGTAAGATAAGGTTGGTTAGGTCGAACCTCGACTGGGTACAGTGTCACTTTTCAGTGTCAATTTACTAGTTAGCTGGACGAAAAGTAACTTAAATGCTAAGTTTGAACATTTGTCTAGGTGTAAATATTGAAATACTATCCTTAAATACGATGGATTAGTCATGGGATAAATAAAATAAAATTTTACAACAAAAACTGTACACACCCGTGAGAGACTGTTGTGACAAACGTAAAGAACAATATCTATAAACACCAAATTAGTTAGCTAGTAAAGTTATCAGTTAATAAAGAACAGATAATTTTTAATCAAGAATTCTCTGTGAAACTTTTACATTACAGCAATTGTTTTCCAATAATGAATTTTTCATTCTCTTTCTTTTTCGTAATTTATCTGAGTCAAGTTAGATTTTTCTTCATCTGTTTATATTTCACCCAAGGACAAGAAATATATATCACATAAAACAAATCTAATTGCTGGTTATTATCTACAGCAAAATAATAAACAACGTAATCTATCTATATACAAGTACCAGTTATTATTAAAAGATATCAAAATTCCAATCATCTGAATACAAAACAATAAACAATACATAATAGATAGATAAAAAGCTAAAAGAGAGACTTAAAACCATCAATACATATTAGATCATGTTATATCCAACTATAAAATAAAAGATAAACATTTTTTTGTTCTAAACGATTAATGGATTTCGATAAATCTTTCTGGGGTTTGTTAAGGGAATTTTTCAGGATTTTTTGAATTTTGGAAATATAGTTAGATTGTAGAAATAAATGGAAAAATTTACAAACAACCGCTTATCATGCATTGAAAACATTTGAGGCATTGTTTGGCATTGAAAACAAATGAAAACTGTCATCTTATTTCAATTTACTTATGAGCCCTACGTCTGTCGGGTCATCAAGTATGTATATATATATATATATATTTATATATATATACATATATATATATATATATATATATATATATATATGTATATATATATATATCTTGAGGATTTTTTGTTCGACGTTGAAACATACTGAAATTAATTAAACTGCCAATCCGTCGAATGTAAAGAATTTATTTTATTTTTTATACGTTTCGAGACTAGATGTGTCTCATCATTCAGCTAAAAGAAATTTAGAATATAAAGAAAAAGTTTTAAAAAAATGAATTTATACAATGGAAAAAAATAAAATAAATTCTTTACATTCGACGCATTGGCTTTTTTATTCATATATATATATATATATATATATATATATATAAAATACACTGGAATAAAACCTAAATATATTGAATTCAAATATTTGTGTATTATTACATATATTTCTAATTATTTGCAATTTATTTATTTTATTATTTCAGGGCTATTTATTCAAGAGGACAATCAATAGATTTTTCTTGCCTTACTACACTAGAAATAGTACGCTTGATTACAATTGCTCACCGATATATGGTAATTCAATTTTATGTATTTATTTATTTACACAATTTAATATCCAAATTTAGTGTGCAAATTAAAAACCAAAAATGATACATGAAACATTTAGAATTGTTGAAATACACAAAACTCTTACATAGTTGCAAATAAACAACTCTAAATAAAAACTACTTGGTATATAAAACGTTTAATAAAAACAATGAATTAGTATTATTTTTTTATGTATTATCCGAAATAACTGTTTTGTGATTTTAGGCAGAAGATATTGTTAATATATGTGCAGTAAAATTAATTCCTGAGCAAATATGTCATGAAACTTTTGAAGTATTTAATTTGGCCTGTATGTATGATATTGAGGAGCTGAAAAATAAGTGTATAAAGGTATATATTGTAATATATATATATATATATATATATATATATATATATATATTATCTGATTTTGTTTTCAGTTTTTTCAAGAACATGTGAAGGATTTTTTTGCCCATGAGGGCTTTATATATTTAACATCAGATGCTCTTAACACAATATTGCAACTAGAAGTTTTGAAAATTGATACAGTGATTGAGGTGATGCAAACTTTAATTATATATATATATATATATATATATATATATATATATGTATATATATTTATTTTATAATTTTAGATTTTCAACGCAGTCGTAAGGTGGGCTGAAAATATTTTATATGATTCTGAGTGCCATATGGATGAAGATGATTCGAGCTTACGTGATAGCAATGTATTTTGTTCTACAATGGAAGCGAAATGTAGTAGTGAACAAGGTAAAATATTATGGATAATACATTTAAATTTCTCATCCATATTTTAACGTATTATAAAAATAAAAAAGTATTATTTGGAAATCATGCAATTAATAGTTCAAAAAATGTTGCGTTATTTATCTTTTCGAAGGAGACGTTTATGTTTTCGCTAAAAAATCCGATTTGCCAATTATATGTTTTCTCGACGTTTCAAGCCGTTCTGAATCGAATGAGACCGAATTTAAAGAAAAATTATGTGTGTGTATGTATGTGAGCCGATTCTTGATCGTTTCGACTTAAAAAATTTAAAAGACATTTGATGTAATTCAATAAAGAATCGGCTTACATACACGTATATACATACGTACTTACATACACACAGATACTAGGGAATTCTAGAGCCTCCCCCCATGAAATAATGCTTAAAGGCAGTTTTCTTGGGGCAAAAACGCAAGATATAAGCGAAGAAATGACATACCCAGACAAAAGACCTAGTTTGGTATGTATAAACATATACACACATAATTTTTTCAAAGTTGGATTTATTCGATTCAGAATGACTTGAAACGTCGGGAAAACGTAAAATTATCAAATCAGAATTTCTAATTTTCGGGAAGTTCCAAAATATATTTATAGAAAAATATTGTCTGTGTTCCAAACAATCTAATTTTTTTCAAAATTTTTCAAAAACTTTTAAAGCTTTTTTAAAATTTTAATTTTTGGTGCGGTAAGATTCAGAAATTTGTCTTAAAACACTTATACAATTTACAATTATGAGAAAACTGTTATTGCCAGAAGTTGGGAATAGAATTCTAGAGCCTCCCCCCATGAAATAATGTCATACTGCGGTTTTCGTGTGGACGAAACGCAAGACATAAGCGAAGATTTTAGTCGGTATTATGAGTAACGCATACCCCGACAAAAAACCTAGTTTGGCCGACTTTTTCCAAAATCGGTCTCATTCGATTCAGAATAGCTTGAAATGTCGAGAAAACATACAATTAGCAAATCAGATTATCTGATGAAAACTTAAACTTCATTTTCGGGAAGTTAAAAAATGTATTTATAATAAAATAAAGTCAGTGTTCTCAAAAACAGAGCATCATTGTTTTTAAACTTTGTTTTTAATTAGTGCTTATATATAATTGATAGCGTAAATTTATTCAATATGAGCAGATTTTTACAAAATCTTTAATTTTAAAAAAATTTACAGTTTCACAATGGCAAAAGATGAAAATAAATAAACTAGAGAAGAAAAAATCTGTATTATAATTTAAGTTATTGATATGTTCGGTGAGCATAGTCTTGAATTGTTTGGTATTTTTTTTAGTTATTTTTATGTTAATGAAAGCGTTTACTCAGGTTTTGGCTAGTTGCTTCGATATAAATATGTTCACAATTAGAGCAATTAATCTGATATACTAAACTGAACTAACCTTCTACTTTTTATTTCTCTCAATTTTAATTTTTATCTATAAAGAAAGTGCATTATTACATGTAGCTTTTTATATTTGTTTTATTATTGAAAAAAAATAATTTTCTTATAATTTATTAAACATGTTTGATATTAAATACAGTAATATTTATTTTTCGTCCAATATATTTGTTATGCATCAAAAACTGACCTTTTTATAGTTATTTTCGTTTAGCACGAATTTTCCATATAAAAGTGTTTTTAATAGTGTAGTGTAGTTTTTTCTGGTGTATTATTAATTTTTTATCAATTTAATTTTCAGTTCAAATGGATACATCTGATACACCTGATCCTGATTCCGGTATCCATTCGACCACAACTTTCCATAATCTTTCTGCAAATAATTCAAAACCAATTCAAAACTTTACCGGTTACAGAAACTTTAAAAAAGAATCTGTAGCCGAGTCAACAATGATGGACTGGTCTCCAGAAGAAAAAAAAATCGATCCGAATTATGGAAACAAGATACGAGAAATTTTAAAAGTAATTAATATGATACCTTAATCTAATTTTGTGTAAGCACTGTAATTATTTTAATTTTTAGAACAGTGGAGTATTGAAACGTATTAGATTTTGTACCATGAGTCCGGTAGATTTTGGAACACATGTTGTACCGAAACAAATTTTAAACAAGTATGAGGTAATAATAATTTTATCTGCAATTCTTATTGATGCAACAATTTATATTTACATTTTTTTACAGGTTTCAATAATTTTTCTTGTAATTAACATGCTCACAAAATCAGAAAGTGGTTGGGGATCTAGGTTAATAGATGGTTTAATATCGAGGAATAAGAATTATCTTACAGATATTTGTTTGAACTCCACTTCGCAAATTATTGAAGCAAGATCTTTAGAATGTACTACAGGTAATAACTTTATCATAAAATTAAAATTTTCTCTATATTTTATGCAATTTTATGTCGGCAAAAATAACGCGGCGCAAATTGAAGCGACGTTAAGTGAATTATTGAGATACTTTGGTCTCAAATTTTTTAAAAATTTGATTTTATATTGAATATTTTTAAAGTTTAACTGCTCAAAAATATGTGTACACGAGGAATTTTCAAAATTTAATTGATTTTCGGAGTTATATCTGTTTGAGCACAATAATTCACTTTTGTTTCTTTTCTCTGTGAAACTTCAAGCATGTATAAATGATTGAATAAATAAATGCATGAATAAATGTGCAAATAAATGAATAAGTAATTTAATAAACATGGATGAAAAAATTAAATAAACAAATGAAGTAAATAAATAAATAAATTATTTAAATAAATAAATGAGCATGAATGTTAATAAATAAATTAATAAATAAACCAGAAAGCTAATACATAAATAAAAAAAGAAATAAAATATACTAAATAAATAAAATAATTAATTGAATTAATAGATAAATAATAAATAAATGAACAAAAAGGCTAATGAATAAATAAAAAAAACAATCAATAATCAAGTATTAAAACAAATGAAAACTGTCATCTGCCAAAAATTTCAATTTACTTATGTGCCTAGACAATATTGGAATATGTATAATAAATTCATAATTATGAATAAGAAAAATGAAATATCTACATTATTATTGCCAAAAAGCAGCTGAAATTATTTAAGTTATTATTGTTTTTTTTTATTATTAGTTATTTATTTAAAATTTTATAGAGTTTTCTTAATAGAAGATTTCTCTTTAGTGTGATCTATGATATGTATATGTATATGTATGATACATACATACACACACACACACATACTTCCATTTTTTCTAAAGGATGCCAAAGTATTCAGAAACTTTCGAAATTTAAATATATATAAGAATCCTCATATTCGATTTTTTTTTGATTACTATAAACTTACCCTAAGCAAAGTTAAAAATCGAGATTATCAAAAAAATTGTACGTTTTTTTTTTCAGATAATATATAATTGAAATGATGAACTAATAATTAATAATAATTTACTATCTACTTCTTTCTTTTAATTAAGTTCTATTCAAAATGTAAAATTTTCGGTTTGAAAAAAATTATATTACGATTTAAATTATTGATATGTTCGGTGAGCATGGTCTTGAATTGCTTAGTATTTTTTTAGTTGGTGCCATTTTTTTTCAAACCGCTCCCCCCTCCTATTATTTTACCTGTTTTATTTGTTTTACAATGTTTTAGAGGTAATTTAGTTATCATAAAATTATAATTTTATTCGTATTTTATGCAATTTTATATCATGTACCAAAAATAACGCGACGCGTTAAAATAAATAAATAAAAAAAATAATTTTTTATTGAATATTTTTCAAATTTTATTCATTCAAGAATATGTTTGTCCAAGATGCATTTTCAAAATTTAAATTATTTTTGAAGGTATATCTGAGCGTGTTTTTCTTGACGATACCCACGATTTCTAAAATTCTACTAAACCGATTTATTTGAAACTTTTATAGAGTCTTCTTAATAGATTTCTCTTTATTACGATCTACTATATGTATATGTATGATACATACACAAACACACACATACATAAATTTTTTCTAAAGTATGCCAAAATGTCTAGAAACCTTTGAAGCGTAAATTTATATATAAAAATTTTCATTTTCGAGTTTTTTTCGATTAGTATAAACGTACCCCAAGCAAAGATAAAAACCGAGGATATCAAAAACATTGTACATTTTTTTCACATGTACTATAATAATTTACTTTAGATTACTTTCTTTTATCTTAAAATTTCTTTTATCTTTGGGTTAAAAAAATCTACATTATGATTTAAATTATTGATATGTTCGGTGAGCATAGTCTTGAATTGTTTGGTATTTTTTTAGTTATTTTTATGGCGTTTACTCAGGTTTTGGCTAGTTTTTCCGATATAAAAAAGTTCACAATTAGAACAATTAATCTGATATACTAAACTTAACTTCTACTTAAATATGGAACTGCTTTAAATAAAATGATTAGTCTCAATTCCCACACTATATTGAAAATTGAAGTTTTTTAAAAGGTTTAATTTAGAAAAAATCAATTATATCACAACAAATAAAACATTTCAAACGAACAATTATCTGACTACGTTCAGTGAAACTGCCTTTTACTTCATCATTGTAGAAATGTGCTTTTTTATGTCTTTCAAAAATTTGTTATCTAGACCTTTTTACCTATACGCGGGGTAACTAGGAATAGCCACGTGGCAAACTCGTTTAAAGTCTTATTTTAATTTTAAAGGTATTTTACCAAATAATTACATTTTTAATTAATGCTAAAAAACTACCAACGGAAGAAAATACTTTTATTATGGATTTTCAAAGATTACCGTTTATCTTCCGATAGCAAAGTCATAAGAATCAAGGTTATAGCTGGTTATACATCTTTTTCCCTCTACTTTCAAATATTGTTGTTAACAATGCTTAACTTTACTGGTTTTTGACACATCATTGGGGGACCTTTTTAACCCCGGACCTTCATATAATACTATCTATTCTTCGATAAATTCTGGGAAATTATAACTGGGAAAATGTTATTCGACAAAATGTCTCTTTGATCGATACCAAATTTATGTTCTGGATTTAAATAACATAAATAAAAAATAATATATAATAGAAAATGTATTATAAATACCAATGAGTGTATAATTATACAAATGAGATCTTTCAGAGCACCGTGTTTGAGAAAAATATGATTTGCAAGACAAGAGTGTTGCAACGCCAAAAAATGCATTTTCATATTAACATTTCAAAAAAGTTGATATTTTGAGTTCCTAGTAACGCTTGCGGCCCGTTTACTAACGTTTTTGAACATAAATAAAACTACGAACACAACTACTTACTACAATTTAATCATAATTAAATAATATTCACGTAAAACATCCTATTAAACGTAATTGAACATCATCTGTTAAAAACGTTTGACATTTGACGTATTAGCCACCGTCCATTGTTTTATTCAAATTACGCTTCTACAAAAATGTTCAAATTAAAAATGTAAAGTTTCTACGCGATTTTGAAATAATATCTCACCTTTCCGACAACCTACTGATTAGCACGAAGTTTTCCAAGACTAAATCTGGCCAAATCGGTTTAGCCTTTTCGATTTTTAGCGGATCATTTTATCAAGAGCTCGATTTTTATATATAAGATATATATATATATATATACATATATTATATTATATATTATGTATATTTTTTATTTTTTTCAGGGGTTCTCACATTTGATTTCCACAACCGATTTTGGAAGCGCAAGTCATCTTTCGGGTTCACCACCGAAACTTTTCAATGTTCTTCAAAAGTGCCGATCGTAATAGAAGGTGTGATTATGCCACCGAAATGCAAACTAACCAAAAGAATCGGTGCCAGATATGAAGAAGGGATCACAATTCATATTTACAAAACATCTTCAGAATCTAAAGCAGGCGAAGTGATAGCTGAATGTAACCAGAAAGTACGGAGACCTTATGGAAGTAATTTCGAGTACCCTATCAAGTATTCGCTGCACGAATCCCCCAGGGTTCTGTACGAGGGCCAATGGTTTACTGTTTTGATGTAAGTTGGAAATATAATATAATACGTAATATAATAAGTCGACTATAACGAAATATATAAGTCGACTATAACGAAATATAATAAGTCGACTATAACTAAGGTGACCATATTTTTTAAGTCAAAACCGGGACGGCAATTTTTAGTTAAGTTAATCCGGGACGGGAGGAGGGGTGTCTTGAAATAGTTTTTTATATGAATCAATGTTTTTAATCAGAACTGCGGACTTTCAGTAAGAACTTCATTATTCGATTATATGTACAATTACTTGCCAACAGTTATATACACTCCGATATAATAGTTTTGCTTAAAACGACTTTGAATTTGATATTTCATTGTTTTGCAATAAATAGAATAGAATTCCGGACATTTGTTTAGTCACAACATTTCCTAGGGAACACTTTTATACACTCCGATATAAAAGTTTTGAATAAAACGAGTTTGAATTTGATTTTTCATTCTTTTTTCGCAATAAATAGAAAATTCGGGACATTTTTTGGTTTTTGTCAAATAAGTAACAAATTTTATATAGGAGCACTCTTTTTGATTTAAATTTAATAAATATAAGTATAAATATAAATATAAATATAAATATAAATATAAATATAAATATAAATATAAATATAAATATAAATATAAATATATAAATATACTAGCAAACTCGACGAACTCCGTTTCGCCACCAGATGGTTTCGTAAGAAAGATGAAGAAATTTTTTGTTTGTTTTATTTGAAAAGGAAAAATTTGATCAGGAAGGAAAACCCGACTTATTTTTATATATATAGAAGATATTTATATAAATATATAAATATATAAATATATAAATATATAAATATATATAAATATATATAAATATATATAAATATATATAAATATATAAATATATAAATATATAAATATATAAATATATAAATATATAAATATAAATATTAAATATTAAATATTTATAGATATTTTAAGTTAAATAGGGTGAAACTAGATAAAATTTACTACATTTACATGCCAACACTTATATACAGTCCGATATAAAAGTTTTGAATAAAACGACTTTGAAATTGAAATTTTGATAAATGCAAAGGAAAATGCGGGACATTTTTCTACATTTCTTCAAATATCTCGAAAATTTTGTATCAGAGACTGTATTTTTTATTAGTACAGCAGAAACAGATAATTTTTTTCGCTTTTGTGTAAAATTCTATTCAATTTCTTCATAGTTATTTAAATATTCCAAAAAATCAAATTAGGAAAAAGTATGTATTTGTTTATGTGTGTAAGTCAACCGATTTTTGACCTTTCGTCGACGTTTTCTCAAACGGTTGGACCGATGTCAAAAATTTAAAAGCCATTCGATTTAACTCGATAAGGACTATCGTTTATCAGTTTTGCGCGATGATCAGCCAAGCCGTTTCTATGTTAATAGCAAAAAAGTGATTTTTTTTTTGTTAAAAATCCTTAAAAAAAATCGATCACGTGATTAATGGATGCCCCTAAAGTTGTTTAATTTTAAAAAATCATAAAACTGATTTTTTTCTGGCGTTTGTTAAGATTAGAAATCTCATCGACGTTTTCTCAAAAACTGCTGAATCGATTTTAAAAATTCAAGAACCATTCGATGTAACTCGATAAGTAACCATCGTTTCTAAGTTTTGTGCGATGATCGGCCGAGCCGTTTCTTTGTAATTTGAAAAAAAGTGTTAAGCTTTTCGTCCACATTTAAACTCATACTACCGAATCGATTTAAACAAATTAAAAAGTGTTCGAAATATATTAGTTGGGAATGATACTGATTAGTTTTAGGTGAAAATCTACCGAGACGTTTTCTTGTAATTAACTGTTGAAAAAAAAATTAAGTCGATTTCTATGGAACTTTTTTTGGCGATATATATCATGGTCTTATACAACTTATTGAAATATTACGCCCTTACGACAAGTAGTTTAATTTTAAAAATTCATCAAAGTTTGAGAACATGAGTAGTTTTTTTGACGTTTGTTAAAATTAAAATTCGACGATTCACTTAGTACTTGGTCTTAATAAACATACTAAGCCATTAAAGTCCTGGGGATACTGGTTCAATTATAAAAATCATTGATTTGTGAAAATTTGCTTTTCCGAGTTAACATGTCAGTTTGTGTTCAATTATGTGTAATAAATTCACTCGGAATACTTTTAATCACTCATAAATAAATTTATTTTTTATTGAGTAAGTCGATTATTTACACGCATCGGGAAGTTCATGTAACTTGCCTCAAGGCAAAAAACAAATACCAACTAGTTTTGTTTTGTAGTCTTAGGTTTTATTTAGATCTACTTACTAATTTTGTTATAATTTCAGAAAATTTCACAAAAGAGGCGATTATTATGGCGGAATAGGTTATCGTGAAACTAGTATTAATAACGACATAATCAGCGTTTCTTCCAAAAAACAATTTGGCATCATACAAGGATTCCGATATAGAACGATAGTATAAAATATTAATATTTTATTTATATAAAATATTTATATGTATATAAGCAGCTGTGATTTGGATACGGAACCATATCAGTATTATTAAAGGCTGTGTTGAACATTGCTTTAAAAAAGTCCTATATTTCTCGATTTAATAAACTGATTGCTGAAATTAATAATAACAGCAATAATAATAATATATAAATTTGCATATAATTTTATTTATATTATTATGTGAACTTTGCACGTTTTTATGAACTACACGTTGATAAGACTTTCTTTCCAAATTTTGTACATGTCCTATAATTTTTAAGTAATTATTTTAATTTATTTCATATATAAAACTAATGTTTTTAGTCTTAAAAATATTTTTTTCAAGTCAAAATCGAAGCGAGAAATATTGGAAAACCATATAATTTAATTAAAATTGTGATTTTTAATAATCCAATTTACATATTATTATGAATTAGTTAGTACTAAAGAGACTTTTATGCTACTTTTAAGATGTTTGTATTTTATTTGATTTTATTCTTGTTTTTCACTATTCTGTATATATTGTGTATGTCTTGTCATATATCTTGTACTATATCTTGTAAATATATCTATTTGTTTGTGAAGAAATAAATTATTTTATATTTTATATATTATTTATTTCTGGGTTTATTATTTTTCAGAATTTTATTTATTTTATTTATACTAACTTTCCTTATCTATGTATCTATCCATATATCACAGTTGTTTATATGAGTATGAATATTTTTTTAAATTTTTTTGAGAGCTTTTTCATGTTTCAGAAGTTTCTGTGACATCTGTTTTCACTTGGAAATATATGTTGCAATATATTTCCAAACTAGTGGTGTATGGCATCGTGCCTTAAGACAAGTTGCTGGAACTTCCCGCACCGTAATGAAATATTCGTGAAATTTCAAACGTTTTCAAATATATTATTACAAATACTGTAACTTTCACTATTTTTGCTATCTTGATATATCTGAGCAAATCAAATGTAAATCATAAATCAATTTATCTCCAGAACATTAACAATAGACATTTCATTTAGAACACAATTTAAAAAAAAAAATATAAAAATACACAAAATTGAAAAAGTGCTCACAGTCTAAACGCATTTGCAAATAATTCTGTGCGACATTTTCACTTATACTGTGTTTAGCCTGGCGGCATTTTCACATTTTTCAATAGTTTTCCCAAAATTGAAAAAGTACTCCAGTACATAAACAGTCTAAACGCACTTGGGTAAACATTTGTACTAGAGTGGCGCTTAGACTGTGCTTAGCCTGAGTCATTTTTTGGATTTTTAATTCAAAATAACCAAAATATTTTATGGAAAATAAAAAAAGATGTCATAATTTTTTATCCTCAAAAGCAATTGTTTTGTCAATACAAGCAGAAAGTTTTTTAGATCATTCAAATAGGACGCTTAGTTCACTCAAAAACTGCCACTTTTTGCACATTTAGCTCTGTATCTTCAAAATGGCGGGACCTGTCTTTGCCAAAAACTAATCACCTCTTCTCCCAATTATTACAAATTGAATGTTTTTTAGTTCATTCAAATCCGATACTTCGTTCTCTCAAAAACTCGATTTCTATTTTCTGAACTCTTTGCTCCGTATCTCCGTAACGGCTGGACCTGCCTTTGCCAAAAACTAATCAGCACATCTTCCTATCAATCTCAGTTTTAGGAACTATCAATAGTGATTGAATGTTTTTAAGCCATTCAAATCGGTTGATCCGTGCGCCCGAAAACGTGGACGAAAAAATGCGGACATACAATACGCACTCATCCATTTTTTCTGAGGTATGCCAAAATGTTCAGAAACCTTCAAAACGTCGAGAAATGCAAAAATTTGCAATTTCGATTTTCGGCTCATTACTCTAACTGCCCTATGGTTAAAAATCAATGAAAATATTTTTTAAAAAACTAAAATTTGCAGATTTAAAAAAAAGTGTCTGGTTGCATTTTGTTCCAAATTTTTGTTTCAAAATTTTATTAATTTTATTAATTTTTCCAGCAAAAAGTTTCCTATGTGCTCGACATTTTAAGTTATTCTGAATTTTGAATCGTTTGACACCGAATTTGGAACTATGTGAAAGTGGCATTTTGCTCTAAGGCGAGTTGCATGAACTTCCCCAAATATGTGAAAATTGACTTAATCAATGGAAATTGAGATTTAGATATTTCGATAAAATTTTTAATTGAAAATTTATAGGTATTTGCACAAAACTGAAACGAATGGCTTTTAAATATTTACACACATTTGTTTCTTAATTTGGTCTCAAACGATTCTGACTAACTTAAATAAAATTACCAAATAGCATTTTCTGGCAAAAACATAAACTTCTCCTTAGTAAGTTAATAATTAATAAATCATTCAAAAATAAATAAATTTAGTCGCCCACCTAATGCACCTGGAGTAATATTTATTTTCCCATTAGATGTAATTAAAGAAAAACAAACTTGTCAGTTAGTAATTAGTAAAATGTTTTTCCAAAGGTGTAATTTTACTTATCTGTTTACTTAAAATATCTTGTCCAATCATAATCTAATTATAATTAGAAAAAGCACTTTAGTTTCTTCAGAATTTCCAGTAATTAAGGATAATTTTTGGGGAAGAAGTAGTATAACATTGTACTTGGAAATAGAAAGTTAGATTTTTTTTAAACAAAGTAAAAAATGTTTTTTCAAAGTTGTTAAATTCGTAAGTATAATTTTTAACTTTTCGAAGTAAAAATTTTTATGTTTGTGCCAGAAAATTTGTTTTGCGAATTTTATGTTTTCTGGACGTTTCAAGTCATTCTGAATCGCCAGAGACAAAAATCATTTTTACAGCTGTTTTTTAAAATATCTATGTTTTGAAATCTGAATACTCAATAAAAAATAAACTCATAGAGTTTGTGAATAATATATAAATTGTAGAACAATTACAAAATTATCGACTTCTAGTTTTTATGATTTTTAGCACGCACATGCAGAAAATGCTTTTTATTAAAAATTCATTTTCAATTTAAAAATAGATTTAAAAAAAATTAAATAAAATTAAATGCAACACTAAGATTATTGAGGTAAAATTAAATATGTTATTAATTTTACTGATTATTATATTTTTTTTACAATTAGTCAAACTAGATGCATTTTGTAAAAAATATACTTTTGAGTGCATTTTTGGAAAATGTGTAACATTATGGTGCATCTCAGATATCTACTGCATTTTCAGTCAATTTGCTAACTTTTTAGCCATTTTACATTTTTATAGCATTTTTAGACTGCATTTTTAGACAATTTTCAACATTTTTTGAAGATTTGCTTTATTATCTGGCAGTATACTGTATTCTCATATAATTAAAAGCATTTTTATGCAATTTAAAATATTTTCAGATTGCTTATAATTTTGACTAAAATGTGGATGACAAATTATGCACTTTTTTATTAATTTTAAAGAAATAGCTTAGCCGATCGTCACACAAAATTAAACTTTTAATTCTGTGGAAAAAATATTGAAGTACGTTTACACATACTCATTTTATTTTTGGTGTCAATCGATTCAGAATGACTTGAAACGTGTAGAGAACATAAAATGTCATTTTGGCGAAAACATGGTCCCCTTTTTCAAAAAAAATATTTTTCGCATTATTTTATTCTAGGATGCAAAATACATTTCTGAACAATTACAAGTTGAAGTTAAATATATGAACTTATCGTGTTAAACACGCGAACAAGGCTTTAATAGTTATTTATTTAAGTAAACTATATTTAGATGTTTTATAATTAATTAATTAATCTGATTTCAGATAACTGGCTTTTGCTGAAGGTTAAATATTGTTGCATGATTTTAAAATATTCAGTAATGAAAAGTGCAGCAAAAAGATCTGTATGGACTGTTAGTCCTTATGGAAAAACCGAGAGGGCAAGAAGATCCAAAAAAGGTCAGTTTTTGAATACTAATTATATTAAATAAATTAAAAATTAATTAATCATAATGAAATAAACTAAATTGAAATTCAGAAATATTTAGATTTTTTCTGTTTTTAGATTCCATAAAATATGTAAATATTCATTTTTTCAATGCATTTATTATCGATTTAATTGATTTTACAAAAGTGTTAAAAATTTACTTTACAGGGCTATTAAAGTAAAATTTTATCACAAAAC